TACTGCTTTCAGGACCAGAGATAAACTCCTTACCACCTCCCCACATCTTTTTTTTTTTAAAGGCAATTGGGGTTAAGTGACTTGCTCAGGGTCACACAGCTAGTAAGTGTCAAGTATTTGTTCTGAGGCCGGATTTGAACTCAAGTCCTCCTGACTTCAGGGCCGGTACTGTATCCACTGTGCCATCTAGCTGCCCCTACCCCTTTCCCACATCTTAGCTCTCCAGTTTTCACCCAATACTAGCTAATTTGTTCTTTTCTTGTGACATTCCATCTCCCATTTCCCCTCACTGTATATTTGCAGCGGCTGTCCCCCCCCCCCGGAATATTCTTCTTCCTCACCTCTACCTCTTTGAATCTCTGCCTTCCTTCAAGATTCAGATTCATCACTACCTTCTGTCCAAGAGTTCACCTTCCACTTCAAGGATACCTTCCTTCTACTCTGTCCATACCTTGCACATACTTATAAATGCACATGTTGTCATCCCCATTAGAAAGTAAGGTTTTTTGGTGGCAGAGACTGTTTTTGCTTTTGTCTTGTATGCACAGCAATTAGTTCAGCATCTAGTGCATATTCAGCACCTAATAAATGGTTGTTGATTGGTTGATTGTTGGTGACTGCAGCATAGGACCACAATGAGTTGTTCGAGAGAAATAGCATAAAGGATATTACTGTCTGGAAAAGCCGGTGGACTACTTATGTAGTGAGAATGAGAGACAAGAATGGATAATGTGAGGGCTATCATAAGATCAGATTGGATTGTAGGTCTGGAGCTGGCAAGTACTACACAATCCAACACTCTCATTTTGTTGTTCAGTCATGTCAGACTCTTTGTGACCCTATCTGGGGTTTTCTTGGCATAGATACTGGAGTGGTTTGCCATTTCCTTATCCAGCTTGTTTTATAGAGGAAACAGAGGCAAACACAGTTAAGTGACTTGCCCAGGGTCATACAGCTAGTAAGTGTCTGAGGTCAGATTCCAACTCAGGTCTTCCTGACTCTAAGCCTGACTCTAGGTGCACTATGGTGCCACCTAGCTGCCCTTACTCTCATTTTAGAGTTGAGAAGACTGAGGGTCAAGGAGGCTATATAGGTAATAAGTTTCAGAGGTGGGATTTGAACCCCTGTTCTCCAGCTTTAGAACCAATGTTCTTTCCACTGTACTTGCTATGAATTGGTATCCTAAGATTGATTCTTTCTGGAGTTTTAATGGGAAGATACAGACAAATGTCTTGCCCACACTCACATAGTTAGTAACAAGTAGCAGTCAGCGTTAGAATCCAAGTGCTTGTACAGTAGAACAAAGAATGAGTTTGGAGTCAGGGAATCTGGGTTCAAATCCCTGCTCTACTATTTTTCTTGTTTTCTTTTTAATTTTTTAAATTAATCTATTTATTTTTAATTTTTAACAATTACTTCCATAAGCTTTTGAGTTTTAAATTTTCTCCCCCTCTCTTCCCGCCTTCCTCCCCAAGATGGCATGCACTCTGATATAGGCTCTACATATACATTCCTGCTCTACTATTTATACTTCTGTGACTTTGGACAAGTCACTGCACTGTCTGAGCCTCATTTTCCTCAACTGCAAAATGAAGCAGTTGGACTGGGTGACCTTAAAGTCTGCCTAGATTCATGATGTTATGATCCCAAATCAAGTCTTCTTTGCAGTATTTTTCTTGCTGCCTTCTATATTTTCATTATGTTTTTAATGATGTTTTTATTCCTTGTAATTGTGCTCAACCTAATCTGTTTCATGAAAGAAAATTGGTTTATTTTATTGTGGTTTTAAGAATCATAGTGAGTCCCAAGATATGGAAGAGTTGCAGTGAGTACCAAGGGGGCAGTATCAGCACCATGACTCGAAGACTATGGCCCCACCCAGAGGAGTCATCTCTTGGGTGGATACAAAGCTCCCCAGAAGCTCAGGTTAGGATTGTCTTAGCCCAAGTCCCCCCCCAAGAGAGAGAGATGGACTCAAGGCTGTTAAAGTGCCCAGTCTCCCTAAGACTAAGAGAGGTAGATGAGTTAGCCAGAGAGTTTTTCCACTGGCAGTTCCCTATATTCACGAAATTATAGGTTGGGATGGAGGGAGAAAGAAAAGAGAAAAAAAAAAACCTAGTGGTTTGTGTTTTCCATTTAGTAACTTATGTTGTTGTTGGTCTTTCATTTTTTTTTTAGGCAATTGGGGTTAAGTGACTTGCCCAGGGTCACACACCTAGTAAGTGTCAAGTGTTTGGTCTGAGGTCACATTTGAACTCAGGTACTCCTGACTTCAGGGCCAGTGCTCTATCCACTGCGCCACCTAGCTGCCCCTTTGGTCTTTCATTTTTGAAGAGAACCAATGACATTATGAGCGTGATGTCTTGACTTGTGTGTAAATTAGATTTAAGTGAGGCAGAGTCCAGTCAGCCTCACTTTCTACTCCAGAGTTGTTGAAGTCCAGTGGCAACATAACTCAGGGTGACTAACTTGTGAGAAGCTCAAGCACTCATTAGATACTCAATAAAGTAGAAAGAGACATTAGGAGTGGGCAGCTAGGGAGTGCAGTGGAGAAAGTGCTGGGCCTGGAGTCCCAAAGACATGAGTTCACATCTGGCTTCAGACACTTACTAGCTGTGTGACCCTGGGTAAGTCACTTAAACTTGTTTGCCTTAGTTTCCCCCTCTGTAAAATGAGCTGCAAAAGAAAATGGCAAATCACTGTGGAAAATTGAGCTAGGTGGCATGACAGTTTGTTTACTCCCCCACAGCTGGGAGATCATCAGATCTCCAGAGGGAGCAGTTCTTCAGATGACCTGCATTCTCCACTGGACCAGAGAAACTGCCTACTAGACACTGTCTAGGTAACTGCAGTCCTGCTGCAGGTTGTGAGAATGGGCTTAGGGGGCAGGAAGATGAACCATCTTACGCTGGTGTATTATTAACTCACCCCTAGCTTTTGTCAACAGCAGGTTCCAAGTTTAAAGACTTTTCTTTCAAGGCTCAGTTCTAGTTCCAACTACTCCATGAAGTCTCTCACTCATCCTCCTCCCCCCAACCCCCCTCCCCAGAAGGAAATCATCTCTCTAAACTGTCCTAGAACACTTGGAAAAGAGCTGAGTTTCTCTTTTACCCTCAACTGACTTGGTCTAATCAACAAGCATTTATTACTGGATTGCTGTATGCCAGGCACGGTGCTTGCTGCTGGGAATGCAGAGACAAAAGTGAAACAATCCCTACCCTCCAGGAACTTACATTTTATCTGGAGAGAAACATGTGGACCTACACACACATATGTATGTGTGTAGGTATATACACATCAATATAAGGATGATGGAAAGGAGGATCAGGAAAGTGGATGAGTCGAAGGAAATTTGGGATTCTAAGATGTGAAGGTAAGGAGGGAGCTCATTGTAGGCATGGGATTATTAGTGCAAAAGTACAGGGACATGATACGCAGTAGCACTTTAAATGAAAACCAGTAAGGCCAGATTGACTAAACCATGCAGTACATGAAGAAGAGTATTGCGCAGTAAGGCAGGAAAGGTAGGAAGGAGCCCAGCCTGTAAAGGTTTGAAATGCCAAAACAGAGGGGTTTGTGTTTAAGCCTTTATTAACAGGGAGCCACTGGGGTTTATTGAGTAGGGGTGTGACATAGTCTGACTTGGACTTTAGGACAATTGCTTTAGCACTGTATGTAGGATGAATTGGAGTAGGGAGAGACTAGAGAGGAGGTGATCATTTAGGAGGTTATTGTGTGAGAAGAGAGAAAGAGGAATGTGAGAAATGGTGCAGAGGGGGGATTTGAACACAGAGGTGAGGAATTAAGGGTATAACAAACCTGGAGGGTCAAGAGGGCAGGGATTGTTGGGTGTCCTCATTGCCTAGCACAGTGCCTGGCATGTAGGAAGCGTTTAATAAATATGTGTTGAACCAAATTGAACTGAATTCTGTTTTTCTGGGAAGGGTATATGTGTTCCATAAATGTAAATTGCTGTGAGTATTCTAATTGACAATCATAATAAATAATGAGAATGGTTACTTTTAGGACTCTGGGCTTTTAGGAAAACAGTCCATGACTGTGGGGCTCTTTGAAGAGAGGAATCAATGACATATTGCTCCCATTTCACAGATGGGGAACCTGAGGTCTTTGAAAGTAATGTGACAATGAGGTATCACCAGGGTTAGACTTATGCATTAAAATAAAATGTAAAACTATGAATTTCAAAGTGAAGTGATGATCAGAAAGTGACTCACAATGGAATAGCAGGAGGTGTAAAGCTTCCCCCACCAGGTTCCTTCCTCTTCATCCCATGGAGCCCTGACCAAGCTTTTCTTGGTCACCGATGCTGCCTTTGCCGATACCCGCTTTTTTTTAGACGTCAATTAGGTCTTTACTGTTTTTTAGTAAATTCTCTTTTAGACTTGAATTTCCTAGCAATTGTTCTTGGGGGAACGGGCCCAGAGAAGGCTTCCTTCGAGGTTGCTGTCAGGTGAGGCCGAGCTTCCCTGGCGCAGAGCGGTGTCCTGGGGCTGGCGGGTAATCTAGGGCAGCTTTGCCCTTCCCCTCGCGGTTAGCTGTTACTGACTCGGATGGTGACATTTCAGGCCTTTTTTTGGGGGGCCACTATCTGGCCCATCCCGGGTAGGCTGGCCAGCAGGTCTGTTCTCCGGGAATGCCCCCGGCCCGGACTCCATTTCCCAGACTCCCTTAGTATCCTAATGTATTCAGTGTTCACTGTGCCTGTGTATGTGTGTGTGTGTGTGTGTGTGTGTGTGTGTGTGTGTGTGCGCGCCCGTGTGTGTGCCTGTGTGCGTGTGCCTCTGCGTGTGTGAGAGAGACAGAGAGCGAGAGCAGAGTGTGTGTGTCTGTGTGTCTGTGTGTGCGTGCGTGTGTGAGTGAGTGTGTGCGCGCCGCTCGCTCGCTGGCTCGCGGGAGTCCCTCGGAGAGTGGAGGCTCATTCACTGATTAGAGCCGGCGCTGAGAGGCAGCACCGCTCCTTCTCTCACTCCGAAGCTCTCGCTCTGTACATGCGATCCCCGGCAGCTGGCGGGCTCAAACAGGGGGCCAGCCGCCTGCTGCTGCCGTTGCTGCTGCTGCCGCTGCCGCCTCTGCCGCCGCCGCTACCACCACCACCGCTGCTCAGCCGGGACTTTCCATGCCCCGCACTCACTGCCTTGCCTCCCTTGCCTTCTGAAAAGTGCAGCCGTTCTCCAAAGGAATTTCCACGGTGAGGACGGAGCGCAGAAAGGGTGTGTGTGTGTGTGTGTGTGTGTGTGTGTGTGTGGTGTGTGTGTGTGTGTGTACACAAGGGGGGGAGAGAAGGGAATAGCAGGGTTGCTCGGGAACAAGGCTAACTTTCAGGGGTCGGTCTCCTAGGGACCCCTGGGAGCCACACCATATCCGCTCCCTAATTCGCCGACTTCGCTCTCCTCTTTCTAACTTTCCACCTGGAGTTTGTCTTATTTTGTTGTTGTTTTGGTTTGGTTGGTGAAGTGGGGTGGAGGGGGGGGTGGGAGTGGGTCGGGGGAGGGAACTAAGACGTGGTTGTTGGCCCAGTGTGGAGGGTGAGGAGAGAGCAAGGGGAAAGGTGGCGGGGGGTGCTTTTCTACGTCTTTCCAACAGTCCCTTTTAACTTTGTTTGGGTTGGTTGCCAGAATATCCTCTCCCTCGGTGCTCGGGGATTGGGGGGGAGGGGGGACAGAGAAGGAAATTCCTGCTGGTCCGGAGCTCGGAAATGGGGAGGGCTCCCCAGAGATGTTGTAGTGGGGGGAAAGGTAGTATCAAAGGGAGAAAGGGATTCGTACCCGCAAAGCACAAAAGGAGCGGAGGGAACGAGGGATCGGGGAGCAAGGAAACAAGCCGCCAGCCGCCCGCTCCTGTGCAGCCGGGAGAAAGAGGGAGAGACACGGAGAGCGAGGGAGAGAGGGAAAGCTAGAGGGAGGGAGAGCGAGTTCTTTCGGGGAATCTCGGGCCCCTACTTGTGCCTGTTCACTTGGAGGCTAGAGGGGAGGGGGCGGGAAAGAGGCGGAGGAGGGCTGGACTGGGGAAGCAAGACTACAGGGGCAAAGAGGCAGGTGCTGGGGGAGGTGAAGAAACCCCCAGGCCTCTGTCGGTCGGTCCTCCCGCCCGGCTATCCCCCTCGGCTCCGCTCGGTTCGGCTGCGGTACCAGTCGGCCTTCCCGAGGGCTCCCAGGATTTTCGGGGGCTCAGGATCTTCTCCCGGAGCACTCTCGTGTGCCTGTATGTGTGCCTCCATGTGTGCCCGTGTGTGTGCCCGTGTGTGTAGTTATGTTTCCCTTCTGCATTGCTTTCTCTCTGACTTAGACTGAGCGAGACTTTGCCCGTCCCCGACTTGGAAACAAAACTTTTCAAAGGGCCCTGGCGGCTGCTGAACCAACGCAGTGAGTCCCGCGGCCCCTGCGACCTTTCCCAGGCCGCTTGCTCGCCGCCCCCTAGGCTGGAGTCGCGGCCCCAGGCCAGCCCACAGGACTCTGCAGGGCCCCGGCCGTCTCGGTCGCCCTTTGGGTTTAGCACTGAAGCCTTGTCCCTTTCCCGAGCCTACCTACCAGACCTGGGCCCAAAGCTTGGCGGTACTTAATGCCAAGCCGCCGCGCTGGGGGCTACCCGATAGCTTGGTCGCGGGGGCCACAGAGATAGAGGGGAAGGAAGGAAGCAAGAAGCAAGCCGGCCGGTCAAGGCTCTGGCACCCGGGTCAGTCGAGCAGTCGGAGCAGGGCTTAGCCTGGGGGCTCGGCTCGGCTCAGCCGGCTTGCTTATGGGGTTTAGGGGAGGGTGCGGCCCTTAGGACTGGGGCATCCCCAGCATCGGTTCTCAGGCTTGAATAAATAGATTCTTTCCCCTGGCTGGGGTAGTCAGCTTGCAGGTTAGCTCGTTTTCAGTTCTGCAGCACGCAGGGTCACCCCGGGAGCGGCGAGAAGGCAAAGATGCTGCTGCCTTCGGCTCGAGGTTAGGAGTGTCCCCTTGAGCTGCAGGCCGCCCGCTCCTCTGGAGATTGGGGCAGCGAGGGCCCGGGGTCCCCCCAGTCTCTTCCCGTCTCCCCAAAAGGCTTTCAACCCCGCTGGGGGGGGGACGTCAGGAAAACCCAAGAAGGGGCTGGACCAAAACAGAGGGAGCGAGTGAGCTTTGAAACTAGTCGAGCTGATGGTCTAGAGGAGACCCTCCCTCGGGACGCCTCACCCTTGCCGGCTCTCTCCTCACTGGCTTCCCTTTGCCGGGAAGGGAGATAAGAAGAAAAGAAAGCGAGAAAAGGAGAGAAGAGGAGAGAGGATAGCAGGAGAGGAGAGGAGAGGCGAGAAAAAGGATGGTAGAGGGGAAAGGGATATCAGAGGGGAGAGGCAAGAGCGGGGAAAAGCGGGAAGTGCCCCGCACTGATCATCTCTTCTGTTGTGAACTAAACCCACCCGGCGGCAGGGAAGACGGAGGGGGAGGCCCAGGGACTGGTAGGCAAGCGTCGGCTCTTCCTGCTACCAGGGTGGTGGGGGTCTCTGACGGGAGTGAGCCCTGGGGCCGACAGGCTGCTCCCACCTGTTTGCCCCTGCGCAGCCAAACTGGACTGCTGCCCCCCCACACTTCGGCACCCTTCCGCCCATCTGCCCATTAGTTCTTCCATTTATCCGTTCCTTCTCACCCTTAACCCCCTCCAGGCGCCGCTCACACCTTGTCTGACCCAGGGCCTGGGCTGCCATGGTTCCGGGGCAGAGGAGAGAGAAGCCAAGGGCGGCGGCTTTCTGTGAAAGGTCTGCGAGCCTTGAAGGGAGGCCGCGCCAGGGCAGGGCTTGCTAGAGCTCTCCTAATTCCTGGGGCTTCTAGCAAGGGCCTGCTTGACCAGTCCGGCCCCGAGCGCGGCCTTCCATTAGCTCTGGCCTCTACTCCGTGGCCCCTTGAGCCATTTCGTTTCGCAAAGTTGCAAGGTCACCATTTGGGTGCTGCTTTGCTCTTGAACGAATTTCTCCCTCCTTTTTACGAAGTTAGAGGTGAATGCTTGGGGGGAAGGCGGGAGAGGCAGGCCAGGGCCGCAGCATGAGCCAGAGAGCTGTGGGTAGGGTGGAGGTCTTTTCTTTGGATACCCAGTTGGTGGTTGTGTCCCTAACTGCTTTCTGAAGCTTGGGCCGAGCTTTCTGCGAGCCAGCGCAGGAGCCCGGCTGGGTCGGATAGCTCTCCCGGGGGCCACGGCTTGCACCGGCTCGGAGGCGATGTATCCATTCCCAGCCCTCGCGCAGGGCGGGTTTGGGCCCCGCCGAGAGTGAGGCAGAAAGCTGCCTGAGCTCGAGTCAGCTAGCCCAGAGCCCCGAAATGCGTCCGCCTTTCGCCTCCTTCGTGCTTGCGGGGGTGGGGGACAGAGGAGTGCGGGGCAGCTTGGGATTGCTTCGGGTCAGGCCGTGGAAACCAGGGGCTGCCCTTTGGGCGCTTGGGGACAGAAAGAATACTCTCCAGCCCGGGACATCTTGGAACTCCGCCTTCGCCTCCTTTCCTTCCCTTCCACCCTTCCACTCTCCTTTCCTCCCTGACTTCCTTTGGGGCCGGGTCCCCGCTCAGCCTCAGCGTTCTTTGTGTTCGGCCTCCCAAGTTGCCTGGGCAATTCGGAAAAGTTGGCTTTCGCCTGCGGAAACGCTCCGGCTACGTATTTGTGCCCTCCCTGCACAAGTCGCGGGCCCAGGAAGAGTTCGGTCGGGAGGGCACCCCGCTGGCACCTGTTGTGAGGCGGCAAGGAATAGCGGCTCAGAAAAACGAACGAAGGCCGCTAGTAGGGACGGACAGACGGACGGGAGGCCACCGGGAACCGGCCCGGGAAGGAGCCCTCGCCCGGTCCGTAGCCTTGCGGCGGCCCTTCAAGCCCGGGGCTGGCGGGAATGGGATGGGGTGGACGGAAGAGTGCTCGGCTCTGGCCGGCGAAGGGCGGCGGCAGCTACCGCAGTACCCCACGTCTTTTCGCTTCGGCCAGGCTGCCGGGGGTGGCGAGGAGGATTCGCAAGTCCTGGCCTGACCGACTTTCTCTCAGGCTTTGCTTTGGCTCTCTCTGAGCGAGGCGGGGAGTGGCCCCTGCCAGGGTTCAGGCACTCTCGGCCCGCCCTCCCATCCCGGACTTTCGTTGCCCTCCTCCCTCTGTATTTGCAGGCTGCCGTCTGTCCGACAATCAGTCCCTCAGGTCCCGCTGGGGTCCGGCAGTCGGACCACTCAATTAGGACTCCCTCTAACAGGGCTGTTTGCATTTCCTTTAAGCAAGCCCGGGGCCTGGGATTACCCCCTCTCCCACCAAAAGGAAAACCCAAGACCCCGCGTGGGGCGGTGGCGGCGGCAGCTTCCAGCCCAACCAGTCCTGGGGCTGGTGCGCCCCCACCGCCTCAGGCCCCCGTGATCGCCCCACAGTCTCTTTGGCTTCGCGGATTGATCTCCCTCCTTGTTGAGTTAATTCAACAAAGACTTTTTGCGATCGCTTTGGAGTTTGTCTGAAGCCGGGGAAAAGGGGCTGGTGATTTATTCGGTTGCTTTTCGATTTCTGTCTTCAGCCCTTCTTTCTCCTCCTTTCAGCGGGGATGTCAGCTGTTATTACTGCCTATTGATCCCTTTGCAAAGTGAGAAGTGAGCTAAAATTAATGTCAATTCCACTGCTCCGATCAATAGCGGGAGTTATTTTAATCTGGATTTGCACGAGGCGCTAAATTAAAAAGCGTCAGCATAAGCGTCCCTGCCCCTCGCCCGCAGCCCCCTTGTTTGCAGCCCCTCGTTCTCAGGCCCTAGTTCTCAGCCCCTCACTTTTCTTCCAGACCCTGGTTCTCAGCCCCTCGTTCGAAGCCCTTCGTTCTCAACCCCTCACTCGCCTTCCTGTTTCTCAAACGACCCACCCCCACACGGCCACCCAGAGCACCCCCCCACACTGATTAGCTGACAATCCATATTTTTTTAATTAAGAGGGTCAGTTAGTTTTCTTATTTGGGGCTCTGTATTTAAGTCCATGACATTTTGACATTAGGAGTGTATCAACTATAGATTTTCATAATGACTGCGGGCGGCTGCCTCAGCCTACTCTGCCGCCTCCTCCTCCTCTGCACAGTTTTCTGGGTGTGGGAGGCAGGGGTGGGGGGAGGAGAGAAGAGCCCTCCAAGCGGCTTCTGGAAAGTGCAGGGAAGAATTACAAACCCCAAACGGAAATGCTCCTGATTTATTCACGGTGTAATGAAGTTTGCAAAAGAATCCGGAATTAGGGGTGAGTGATTCACAGGGTCCTTCCTTCTGCTGAGCTCGACTTGCTGCCTCGGCCGCCAGATTACTAATTTATGAAACACGTTGAGCAGAAGGAGGTGAAGTAGGAGGAAGCCAAAAGAACTCGGGAATAAGGGTCAGTCCCGGGGTCATTTTCTATGGGAAAACATTCCCTTCCTCCATCCCCTCCTCAACGTGCGTTTGGTGTTGTCCATTTCTCCCACCCCTCTTGCCCAGGAGGGACCCTCCATTATTGCTTTTGACCAACCAAGTGTCCTGTCTGTGTCTGGTGTCGTGAAGGAAGGGTGGCTGTGAGCAGCGGAACACATTTGCCAGGCTTCCCTGGTTCGGTTTGTGAATATGCATCTGCCTTGAAAACTGCCGGCCGCAGGGTTCCTATCCTTGTCAAGCTAACCAGGCTGTCCTTGCCAGATCTTCCCTGCTTTGCTCGAACTTGACAGGAAAAGTTATTTAAAATTTGGAAGAGAGAAAAATCCGTTAATGTGAGATGCATAATCTGGTAATTTAGCAATGATGTCTGTAAGGAAGAGTGCCAAATGAGGAAGCAATCTGATGATGTCCACTCATTTTCACAATTAATAATAGTCATGGAAGCGTCTGGTACAGGATGGGAGAAGGAAATGTTATCATTAAGGCCAAGGATGGGATTTTATACCATTTGTTAACCGAAGCTCCTCCATTCAAGGAATACAAAAGGTTTTCCATTAGAAAGATGCTCTTTGGGCACGGTTTAGTTGCAGTGAGTGACTCTTTAGATTCAAAGGGCGTGATTTCTGGCAGCCTGGGGTGTTGGGTTTTCTTTTTAAATCATACGGTGTTGTTCGGGTGCCCTTTGTGGTCTTTCTATTAATCATATCTTTTTTGAAGCTAATAGTCCTCGTATTCACCTTATGCCATGCTCATTCCTGGTGTGTAGCCCTGCCCTGCATAAACGACCAGGGAAAGAATCTGAGGTGGCAAGAGCAAGCCGAGAATTGAAGAGCATCTTTCCTAACTCCTCATGTGCTTTAGGGGCCTCTGTTTGAACTTCAAACTCTGCCTGAACCAAAAACAGTCAGAAATTTGGTTATCATTTTGCTCTAAATGTTAAGGGTGGTTTTAAGCAGTTTACAAATCTATTTAAGTGAGTGCGTTAGTAACTAAAATTAATAATCTTTTGGTGGCTGTTGTTGTCCCTGAAAGACAGACACTTCCAGAGAGCATTGCCAAAGACACCCACTCTATTTTTAAATATTATTGAGGAGGTCAGGCACATCATGATAGAAAAGAGGGGAGGGGGGAAGGCTGTGTATAGACAGAGGAATACTCAAAATGCCAGTTGTGGGGAAGCTTCATTTGGGGGAAAAAAAGTCCTCGATAATATATAAAGTTGTGGGTTTGTGTGTATATATACACATAAATATTTATAATATACACATATACCTTATGTTGTCACCTGCTTACATATGTAACATGTATCCATTTAAATTCACAAATTCACGACATTGTGGGGGGCAGCAAATCGGAAGGGTGTGGTGTGTGTGTGTGTGTGTGTGTGTGTGTGTGTGTGTGTGTATGTTGGGGGGGGAGGGCAGTGTATGAAAAACAATTATAACCGCATCTGTTGCAGCGAACCAGCCCTGCCTTGGGTGGGTGGGGTACCAAGACAGAATCACTTTAAAATCTGGTATGTAAGGTGACCTCATTTGCCCAGGGAATATTGTATTTGGAGATTTTGTGTTTTTTTTTCCTTGCTGGGCTCAGGCGCATTTCACCCGGAACGTGTAGGGACCAAAGTCAGCTACGCGTACATCACAGTAAGTTGTCTATTGATTTTTCTGAATGAAAACGGTCGGATGCTGCTGCTGCCCAGTGACTCCTGAAGCCTGTGGTGTCTGTTCCCCAAGCGCCTGGAAGCCAGGAGGATGGAGTTGCAATCACCCGGGCTTTCCCTTTTTTCTTTTCCCTGACCTTCCTCCCTCCCCCTTTTTTCTCTTTGATGTCCCTGCAGGTCTTGGAAGGGGATGATTCCCCAGTAATCTTCCCTGCCTCGACCCCAGGTGCTGCTCTGCCTCCCTTCCTCCCTCCCTTCCAGGGAAGACCGTTTCTTGTCTGACTCCTGCCATCGAAAGAGACTCCGATGGACTTACACCGGGCAGCCTTCAAGATGGAGAACTCATCCTACCTCCCCAACCCGTTAGCATCCCCAGCCCTGATGGTCCTGGCATCGACAGCAGAGGCCAGCCGGGATGCCTCCATCCCTTGCCAGCAGCCCCGACCCTTTGGGGTTCCTGTCTCCGTAGATAAGGATGTGCATATCCCCTTCACCAATGGCTCCTACACTTTTGCCTCCATGTACCACAGGCAAAGTGGGGTGCCTGGCACCTTTGCCAACCGTGACTTTCCCCCTTCCTTGCTGCACCTCCACCCCCAGTTTGCACCCCCAAACCTAGACTGTAGCCCCATTAGCATGCTAAACCACAGTGGCGTAGGGGCCTTCCGCCCCTTTGCCTCCACTGAGGACCGGGAGAGCTACCAGTCGGCCTTCACGCCTGCCAAGCGACTCAAGAACTGCCATGACACAGAGTCGCCCCACCTGCGTTTTTCTGATGCAGATGGCAAAGAGTATGACTTTGGGGCCCAGCTGCCCTCGGGTTCCCCCAGCTCCCTCAAGGTGGATGACACTGGCAAGAAGATCTTTGCTGTTTCTGGCCTCATTTCTGACCGGGAGACTTCATCCAGCCCGGAAGACAGAAATGATAGATGTAAGTAGCAGTCCTGTGCATCCCTGTCCCCCTTCCCTTGGGTCAGCTTGGCCAAATGCTGGTGCTCAACAGGTCAGTAGTGCCTCTGGCATCCTTACTGAAGAGACTTGCTATCTACTTGCCTTCCTGGATAGCTGTGGGGTGTTGGGGCTCCTTGTTACCTCTCTTCAATGGGCAGTGATAGATTGTGGATTGAAACGTATTCGTGCAGGCAGGCGGGCAGGTTCCCAAGCCACCTGCTATGTTGTCCTTGTGTGGGAAGTATGCCTGGGGGGTTCTGGGCTCAGAAATGCTGGGGTCACTGGGAACGGAGGCCATGCTTGGCCAGGCCGTGGAAGGAGCTTGTGGACTCCCAAGGCCCTTTGCTGGCTTTCCCTTGGTTCTCTGGTCTCTGAATCTTTTCTGGATCTCTTCCTATCAGGCCACACCTAGCAGTCAGTATTCAGTCTGCTTCTCAGCCTTACCTTTCAGCAGGAGATTGAGTTGGGTAGAGAGCAATGAAGGGCAAAGGTTGGTCAACACAGAAGTCTTGTGATAGTCATATTCTCCTTGGTATCTTGGGGCTAGACAGCTAGCATATTTGTGGGAATGCCACGACAGACACAACAGCTCCTGAGGGTCTCAGGTGTGTTCTTGTGACCTTTAGTGCCCTCTGTGGGCACTGACTGTTTCTTTCTGGGGGCTGATAAACCAAATAGAGCCTTTGCAGGGGAGGGGCTGAATCCTCGGGTCCCTTGACTGCCCCGCCCCATCCCCACCCCCACCGCCCAGCAGAACAGGACTCTCAGTTTGGAGCTTTGGGGCAGTATGGAGACAGAGTGGCTTTCTGCCAGCCTGGGGAGAATTTATGAAGCGAGGGGTTTTCTTTCCACCCATCCCTTTGTTCTTGGATTTTGCTTTGTTTTATTTTCTTAAGAAAACTACAGCTAAGGTTTTCTTTCCCCTCTTCTCTACTCTATTCCCTAACACCACTCTCCCCCCCATCTCCCTACAGCCCCCCAACATGAATACCATTTTTTTCTCTTCACTTTATGATGCCGGGGAGAGTAATAGAGACGTTGCAACTCTCTCCCCTGTCGGCCCTGCTTCCTCTGGCTGTCTCCTTGAATTAGGCACTGTGTTAACTTCCCAGCGCTAAAAGGCATCTGCCTAAACCCAGCGTACCTTTTCAATAAAAGTCATCATAAAATCAACCTGCCTTGTAAATCCATCGCTCTTTGGTTTTGAAATATGTTGTGAGTGTGTCTTTTATGTCAGCGTCTGCAAGCCTAGGACCTTCCCACTTAGGAAGAAGGCTGCTGTTGGCGACAGCACAACTGTTAGCTGGGGCTTTCACTCACTTTTTCTCTAGCTCTTCTTACCCCCTCTCACTTTCAGTGACTCACATCTGGCTGGGCTGCTGGCTCCTCTTTCACTCTGATCTGGCTCTCTGGGTAAGCCTGCCTTATGTGATGTAGGGGGACTTTCCTGTTGTCCTTTTGGGTTTTCACCCTGAGTATTGGAGGAGAAGGCAGAGAGCTGGGGCTTACTTTCCCTTTGCTTAAAGCTGTCTCAGGTCAATGTGTGTTACGGCTGCCGTCTCCTTTCCACTAGCAGTCCCACTTAGAAATGAAACTGATTCAACTTGCTGCGGGATTGAGATTCTTCTCTTCATCCAGATCCCTAGCAGTCCTAGTCTGTCTCCCCCTTTTCTTTTCTTTTTTATCCCCAACCTCCATCAAGCAGACACCCAGAGAAGGCGAAAGCCTGTTAGTCAAGTCAGAACTCATAGATGTGGAGATCCATTCCCCCTGCGGGTGTCATAGCCATAACTCTTCCCTTGCCTGGTTTGCATTGTGTGTGCTGGTGCCTTCCCCCACGGAGATGGATACCTACCTCACACAGGAATACGCCTGGGTGGAGAAAAAATGAAATGAGGCTGTCTCCCAAAGTGAAATGGAATTCTGACCTTGAAATTAATGAGATGCTGATCAGCAGGGAGGGAAAACCTCTTCATTTTAAATTTAAGTATTAGAGAAACTGCAAGAACCCTTTCCCCTTAGCTTAATTTATGTTGAACACAGTCTTGCCTCTTCTAGAGGACTTTTCTCCTTCTTTCTCCCCCCCTGCCCCATACTAAGTCTATAGGAATGTGTGAGTGTAGCTTAGATGCACACTCAGATGGTTATATTAGCACAGAGGTGGGAAAAAAAACCCAAAAACAAAATTTAAGTTGGGCTTAGGGCTTGACCCAGAACATGATTTCTCTTGAGGAATGTCTGAGCAGAGAAGACCCTAGCACAGGAGTCTATAACTCCCTTGAGGGGAGCAAGAAGAGGGGGATGCCATCTTCTCTTGACCTTGTTTTAGGGAGCAGATCAGTGCTTCACTGTGGCCTCATTGGGGGGGGGATGACTGGTGCTTTTTTTTTTCAGAGGAATCTTCATAAAACAGGAGAAAACCTTTTTCTTCTGAGCAGGGTTGGAGAGGCAGCATGACAAGGTCTGTGGTGGCTTCTTGGCTCCTGTCATACTCTGATGGGGGCGAGAGGATTTATGGGCTGTTTTATGTAAATACATATTTAAGAGCCGTTAGAAAGCCTGATTATTCCCACTAGATGTCTTTCAGGCCCTCCCTACAGAACCTTTTTGAAATAAGTACCATTTCTGAGCTAGTCAAGGAACAGGGTACAAGAATGCCTCCCGGACTCAGCTGGAGCTGCATAGGTAAAGGTGGGGCCAGAATATGCTTACAGTGCAAAGAGGTAGGCTGCCTAGGCTTGGACTTGGCTGGCTGCTGGCCACAGAAGTATTTGGATTTTTCATCCTATGGCAACTAATTCTTCAGATAATTTTTCAAACTTGTAACCCCTTTGTGTTCTTTTCCAGAAAATGTAAAAAGTTATTTTTTATAATTCAAAAACAAGGACTACAACAGAATTCCTGCAGAACTATGGAGCTGGAGTTTCTGTGGACCAGGTTTCAGCTCAGTTTAAGGGTTTTAGGAGTTTGGAAAATGGGTTTTGTAATGGAAACCCTGGCATGACCTCCCATCCTGTGCCCAGCTGTGGGAGGAGATGTGAGCATAACTAGTACATGCCTCTATATGTGTCTAAGTGAGGTGGAAATGTACGTTTTCTTATATTTAAAATTGTTTTTTATTAAAATCTTCTGGTTTTACATTGCCTTCACTTCCAATTGTATATTTCCCCTCCCTCCCCGTTAGAAGCTATCTCTTCTAACAAAGACTAAAAAAAAGGAGGGGGGGGAGGCAGTTTAGCAAACGGGACCAGCATCTGATAGTATATGCAACGTTCCACGCCATAGTCCCCCTTCCCCCACCTCTGCAAAGAAGGGAGGGAGGTGCCTTTTCTCATTTCTTATTCAGGGCCAAGCTTAGTCACTAGGATAGCAGTGCTCATTTTCCTTTTCTTGTTCTCCCCGTTTACTGTCTATAGTCATTGTGGCAACATTGTAACTGTTGTTTTCTTGGTTCTGCTAACTCCTCTCTGCATCAGTTCATGCCTACCCATGCTTCTCCTAATTCTTCCTCATTACTGCTTTTCCTGGTACAGTAATATTTCCTCACATGCCACAATTTGTTCAGCCATTCATCAGCTGAAGGGAATCTGCTTTGTTTCCACTTCTTTGCTACTATGACAACCACCCAAAAAAGCATATTTTAGCTCATGAGGTATTCTCCTTACTCTTGGTTGAAAGCTGGACAGGAGATATATGAACACTCCAAAGTGGGGAATATTTCCATCTGCTTCCTCTCAGCCCTGGGATTTCTGGACCTCCCTTCATCAACAAATTCATTATTTTTGCTTTGCTAAGGTTTCATGGTAATGAAAAGTTATTTCCCTCTTCACAGGCTGCCCTAGCTGTTCTGGAGAGGGTGTGGGTGGGTCCTGGAAGGGGTATTAGCTCTGGCTGGCAGAGGAGTCAAGGATGTAGTAGGGAAGATCATTGTTGTTTGCCTCCACTTCTCAAGCTATTCTCTTTGACCTGTCTGAGGAAAAGTATGGTATGGGGACAAATGGTCGACATGTGTTATGAGGGACTGTGTGGCTGTTTCTGCCTTTTAAATCAGTGCATCTTTATCGAAGGATTCTACCTGGTGTTCCATGCCATCACCTCTATAGTTATTACCCACTCTGGATTATTTTGATAGCCACTGGGTTTCTTTCATGCTTGAGAGTTCCCCCCAGGTTGCCTCCTGTGGGCAGCTTCTTCCATACCCACATTTCTGTTCTGACTGCCTTCTTAACCCCAGGGCCTTTCTGCCCACTGATTCATTCTGACACAGTTGTGGTTGCCCAGTATATACCCTCTCTTCTCTTCAAATGTGAGTTCTAGTTCTCTCAACTGGAGCCTGTCAAGGATGTCAGGGCCGGGGATCAGATTTGGTGTGTGCGAAGAGCATCAGTCAGTTAATAAACATTTATTAAGTACCTACTATGTGCCAGGTCCTAGCTAAATTCATACAATGAAAGGTAAAAGACAGTTTCTGCTCTCAAGGCGCTCACAGTCTAATGGGAGAAACAATTGAGTTGATTATACTAGCCTGTCTTACCTTCACTTTCTTATTGCAACCCTAAGCAGGCAACAATTTTGTTTTCACTCCAGAGAAATCTTTGGGTTGGCTGATTCCCTTCACTCCCTTTTGCCTTGGCCCTTTTTGGGAAGCTGTTATTGAAATATCTCTTCAGGCAACCAAAGGAATGAACAGTCTGGGAAGGTCAGGGTGTGCTCCCTTTGAGCTCAACAGGCTATTCCTGGTGGCCCTTCTTTGTGCTGGCCTCAGAAGCAGCAGTTCAGAAAACGATTGGGTTCCTGGGGCCCCAGTCCCACCCAGAAGATGGTGGACTATGACTACTGCCTAGGTGGAGCTTGGATGGGGGGGGTAGCCAGACTGCCTCCTCTTCAGATCCTGAGTGAGCCAACCTGGGGGTGGTTATGCCCTGGACTTTGGGAAGAATGAGGGTCTCTGACAGCCCTACTTTTCAAACAAATAAGACT